GCCCAAAGTGCTCAATAATTTGGGATCAGACACCAAAGCAGCCCAGTGGCCTGACCCAGCTCCTCCCCATGGCAAAGGGGAGCGCGGGGTGCAGCTCCTAGCAGTGCAGCCGGGCAGGATCAGGCCTGCCGGGCACGCTACGCTGCCGGCGTGTTTAGCAAGCGTGTTGGAGAGGCACGTCTGCCAGCAAGGAGCAGGGAGCAGAGTCACGCCTGCTCGTCAGGGCTGGCAGCAGCTCCGGGGCTGCGCGCGCAGGGGATGGAGCCGAGTGGGATTTTGCTGCCCGAAATGGCTGTGAGGTCCCATCCAGACCCAGCCCTGCTGTGCTGGGAGGTGGATGAGAGCATGTCTGCGTGGAGGCAGCAAGACCAGGCAGATGCACGTGGGAGAGCACCGGCGCGAGGCGGCAGTGAACCAGGGGCAGAGGGAGACAGCTCAGACTGCCAGCTCAAATCTTTTAATCACTGCACTTCTCAAATATTTCTGAAGCGTGACCCTGACTCGGCTCCTCCAGGCTAGGCAATGAGCACCAGCTGCTTCTCTTGGCTGTGGCTATAAATGCTCCCTCCTGCTCCCAGCCCAGGGTAATTATGGGGGGGTCAGCAGTGCCTGTGCCAGGGTAATGAGCTGGGAGTCACCTTTAATTGTAGCTGGGGTTTGCCAGCCCTCCTTCTTCCCCTGCTGCCGAACGCTGCGGCCCTGGTGCTCTGCAAAGGGCTGGTCGCCCCCAGCCAGAGCCGGGGCGATGCTCGGGGCAGACCCTGTCCCAGCTCTTTGTGCCAGGAGGGATAACCTCTCCGGTCTCCAGGAAGGCACTGAGCTCGGGGAGGTAGGTCCTGCGCTGCCGGGGAGCTGCATCTCTGGGTGTGTTGTATCTGCAGGAGGGGTGGAGAGCCCGGGCTCTGGGATGTGGTTGTCCCTCTGTCATTGTCTGTCTGCCTTGGAGTTGCTGGGTGTGGAAATTGAGCCTAACCTCCATCTGGCTTGAATTTAAATCAGCAGCCGGGCTGGAGAGCCATGTCTGGTGTCCAGGTCCTCATCTCTCCATCCTTTCCTCTGTTTGCCAGGGCCTGGGACACTTTATCTCAGGTGGGAAAGGGGGGGGGGGGACGCAGGCCTCCTGGGGACAGCCCTGTCCCT